AACACAGACTGGGGACTAGTTCCTCTGTAATGTACATAGGCCTGTCATCAAAACACAGACTGGGGACTAGTTCCTCTGTAATGTACATAGGCCTGTCATCAAAACACAGACTGGGGACTAGTTCCTCTGTAATGTACATAGGCCTGTCATCAAAACACAGACTGGGGACTAGTTCCTCTGTAATGTACATAGGCCTGTCATCAAAACACAGACTGGGGACTAGTTCCTCTGTAATGTACATAGGCCTGTCATCAAAACACAGACTGGGGACTAGTTCCTCTGTAATGTACATAGGCCTGTCATCAAAACACAGACTGGGGACTAGTTCCTCTGTAATGTACATAGGCCTGTCATCAAAACACAGACTGGGGACTAGTTCCTCTGTAATGTACATAGGCCTGTCATCAAAACACAGACTGGGGACTAGTTCCTCTGTAATGTACACAGGCCTGTCATCAAAACACAGACTGGGGACTAGTTCCTCTGTAATGTACACAGGCCTGTCATCAAAACACAGACTGGGGACCACTTCCTCTGTAATGTACACAGGCCTATCATCAAAACACATACATTCAGTACCTATACTAACAACTGATATAGCCCTTCTTACACTAGACATTACAAAGTCATACAGTCCCTACTATGACAGGGGATAGAAGTGACAGCCCCAATGGAGACCGGGGATATCAGTAATTTAGCCCCTACTAAGACAGAATATAATTGATATAGCCCCTACTTAGACAGAACGCCATTGATATAGCCCCTCCTAAGACAGGACACCATTTATATAGCCCCTACTAAGACAGGACACCATTGATAAAGCCCCTACTAAGACAGGACACCATTAATATAGCCCCTACTAAGACAGGACGCCATTGATAAAGCCCCTATGGGGACACCAGTTAGTAAACTGTTTAATGTAGCCCCTTATAGTCCTCAGACATAATAAAACAGTAAAATTAGCATATCAGACAATGGAAGTGAGAATAGCCATCAACTGAACTAGATATAGGGCTAGGAGAACACTTATTCCTGTACCAGACAATTATAAATATATGTCCTAGGAAAGCTATCCAGTAATGTAATTATTACAAGTTATACAAAACAAACACATTGCTCCCTGAGAAATCCTACCATGGAATCACAAATAATGAAATGAATGTTTGTTCGATTTCTATGGTAAACACATCTACAAAGTCATTTCATCAGTCGTTCACCTGTCCCCTACCAACTGACTCATGTGCTCCAGTGAGTTAATCAGCCTTATATAATTAGCTGTTAATTACATTCCAACAGCACGTGGCCCTTACACAAGTTCTCCAGCCGTTAACATTACCACTGATTGTATCACAGTCTGTGTCTCCTGGCATCTTCCCCCGACACACGACAACAGTTTTTTACAGAGCCTTTAATGTCAAACATCCAAGGCACTTTTAAATAACACGCCAAGATAACAAAAACTAGGAATGTTTACATTGGTATGGCTATGATGCATCAGAGACATATTTCCTGATATAACAAGGGTAACTGACTGATTCAGTGCCTGCGAGTCGATATGGACGTGGAATGAAAACAATATAATAAACTATCTACAGACATGTTTGTATAATTAGGTAAATAGTAGGCTGTAACGATAATATTACAATGGTAGTCAATAGTACAACCTATTAAACATGATGTCTCCTGGGTCAGTCTCCCAGTAAACAGTGCTACACAGCATTCCCTACTGTCACTTCAATGATATCTAGGATTATAGGGCCATTAATAATGAATTTCTGGTCATCATCAGTGACCAGGTATACTGTCCAAAGTAGGCCGATCAACAAACCATGTGTTCTAAAGGCTGGAGCTACAAACAAGTACCATATCTACACCAACAACACTAGATAAGGCTGGAGCTACAAACAAGTACCATATCTACACCAACAACACTAGATAAGGCTGGAGCTACAAACAAGTACCATATCTACACCAACAACACTAGATAAGGCTGGAGCTACAAACAAGTACCATATCTACACCAACAACACTAGATAAGGCTGGAACTACAAACAAGTACCATATCTACACCAACAACACTTGATAAAGCTGGAGCTACAAACAAGTACCATATCTACACCAACAACACTTGATAGGGCTGGAGCTACAAACAAGTACCATATCTACACCAACAACACTTGATAGGGCTGGAGCTACAAACAAGTACCATATCTGCACCAACAACACTAGATAAGGCTGGAGCTACAAACAATACCATATCTACACCAACAACACTAGATAAGGCTGGAGCTACAAACAAGTACCATATCTACACCAACAACACTTGATAAGGCTGGAGCTACAAACAAGTACCATATCTACTCCAACAACACTAGATAAGGCCGGAGCTACAAACATCTACACCAACAACACTAGATAAGGCTGGAGCTACAAACATCTACTTCAACAACACTAGATAAGGCCGGAGCTACAAACATCTACACCAACAACACTAGATAAGGCTGGAGCTACAGACAAGTACCATATCTACACCAACAACACTAGATAAGGCTGGAGCTGGTGTAGTTGACCTTACACAGATAGCATCACACAGCCAGACATGTCCGATGTCAACCAATCTTTCAAACAAGTTTATAATTCACAGACAAATCAGTTAACTGAATTAACATGACATGCTTATAGTACAGTTGTTTGATTTCACATGATCAAACTTTTACAGAACTGTATCTGGACTGAACTTGTTGTTTTTTATTCTAACCGCCACTGGTTTACTTTGATTTTTATTCCCACCGCCACTGGTTTACTTTGTTTTTTATTCTAACTGCCACTGGTTTACTTTGATTTGGCTATGGTTCAGAATTCACAGATTCTGACCATGATTACAGAAAAAATAAAAACCTCACAAAAAATAACTGCTTTATAAAGAATTTGAAAAGACTTTCACTTAAAATGTTCATGACAACATATATTTCATAATGTAATAGTAACATCAAATGTTTGATAGATTCCTCAAAAAGGAAAAAAGAAAGATATATATCTGGTGAAGTAATAGGTTTATACAATGTATATGTTATAGTCTAAGTAGATATGTTTTACTATCATTCTTTAGATGTGAACAGGGCACATATCTGTAAATGTCAACATTTAAGGTAAAGTTTAAGATTTGCAGAACCAGAACCATGTAATAACTTACCACAAGGTAAATCATTTGAGTGAGAGGGGAGTCTAACCTGCCTATGTTAGCACACTGATTCATCAGATAACCTAGAGAAAGGGATGTCATCAACAAGAATGTACTAATGTACAGAGTGACAGACCAAACTTATATAACACTGAATTTATTGTTGTCGTACAAATAAGATTTCAAAACGCGTGAAATACTTATATCTAATAATGATATTTCATGGGCAGTTTTCTAATATAATATATTGACAATTTCAAGCTTTATTTTTCCTATCTTATAAGTCGGTGATAAAATGGCATTCCTGTTGAACATGTAAGTTTAGTGCCCAGGTTACTGTAACATGGATCCTATTCGCTGTAACACAGATCAACTATGTTCTTGAGGCATATGGCTATACAATTAACATCAGCTGTAGAGGCAGGTACAAACTAACCAGGACAAAGCTTTTAATGGGAAACACATGCTTCAGATAGTAAATATCGCAAACAAAAATTATCGTTCCTCTCAAAATTTATTTACAGAGATGAAGATGGTGTGTCAAACACGTTTTGATAAACGTTGTTAATGAATAACAGAGGAAGCGGAAAATCGTGTTAGATACCGGAATATCTTGCCCATAAAAAACAGGTTTCATAGCAACAAAAAGCACATGCATCCACTGTCGGTGGACGGAGGGCCTGATTACTAACTAGACTAGTTATATTGGTATCTCTGATGGAGATCCTTACATCATGTGCACAACCAAGCATGTTATGAAGTACAGGGTGGAACCAGGCTAACTTCACTGGGCCATTATTGATTTTATAGAAAGGTTATGTATATATCGTTACTGTAGAGTTCCTACCCACATTTAAGGTCATTTAGTCTACAAGGTGTCACTTATCCTAAACAGTGCTTTATCTATTGAATCAGAGCCCTATCACAGGAAGCTCCTGTTCTACAGTTTGTTACTTAATGAAGATGGACTTCGTTTTTTGTGTAACGCTCCTATTTAGACTTTGAACAGCTCCTGGGCCAGCAGGCAAAGGGCAGATAACTACATCCAGCTGTGTTTACAATGGGAATCAGATTGTCCAACACCATCCCCTACCAGTGGTACGTTTGGGATAAATGTCTGACAATCAAATCCTTACTCGGTTCTTTTAATAGCAATTAATTAACAAATCAGTTACAGATAAAAAAAAATAAGAAGGATAAAAAAAGTTAAAATTTCCTGGTGGGGATGTCAATGTATTGCCGTTAAAGCTGGTGGGGATGTCAATGTATTGCCATTAAAGCTGGTGGGGATGTCAATATATTGCCATTAAAGCTGGTGGGGATGTCAATGTATTGCCGTTAAAGCTGGTGGGGATGGCAATGTATTGCCGTTAAAGCTGGTGGGGATGTCATTGTATTGCCGTTAAAGCTGGTGGGGGTGTCAATGTATTGCCCTTAAAGCTGGTGGGGATGTCAATGTACTGCCGTTAAAGCTGGTGGGGATGTCAATGGATTGCCATTAAAGCTGGTGGGGATGTCAATGTACTGCCGTTAAAGCTGGTGGGGATGTCAATATATTTCCATTAAAGCTGGTGGGGATGTCAATGTATTGCCGTTAAAGCTGGTGGGGATGTCAATGTATTGCTATGAACTACTGAACCTGAGGCTGTGGTAATGTCTATCATGCTACAGGACTTATCAGATAAAAGATCTATCATACTACACGACTTATCAGATAAAAGGTTATCAGCTATCTGATAGTATGTGTTATCTACCGGGAACAATGTCCATAGGTTATATATAACGCACAACTCATCAATACCATCCTCCACACAGTACTGTCAATAAGTCAGATGGACTTTCAACTCGTACAGAATATTACAAGTGAATCTACATTTCACATTTTCAGGGAGTATCAATCTTCCTGGGGATCTACTGTTGAAAGTACACTCGGTTGGTGTCGCAGCCTGCTACGTTCTAGTTTATGAACAAGCCTTGTGGGAAAATGTCTATAAAATAGGTCAAGTTGCAGCATATGGATATGTTCTTACAGGACAAGTAAATATTTATATTGGTTTTAAATGCAGCCACCATCTCTCCTATGACACTATATGTGTAAACATTGAGACACTGGGATAGAAAGTCAGTAATTCTTCGTCTTCAAGGTAATTATCTAATCTATACCAAGCTATTTAGTAGTATTACAAAATTTTACCTACTAAATTTTAAATTGAAACAGACTTATCTCTTTATGAACTGCTAAGTCGCTGCATGATCAAAATTATCAAAGTAATTTTAAATTTGATTTAAAAATCATCTCGGAACCCTGAAACATTTCCATACTTCATATCGAATTAAATTCAGTCATTGAAAGTATCATCTGATAACCTGCTTTTGAAAAACTGCAAAACCAGTTAAATTCCATAATTTTAGAACATGATCAAGTTCATTGCAACATTGTAACTGCTCTTCCCTATCCCCCCCCCCCCCCCCCCCCCCCACACCCTTATAAGCTGGATGAGGTGTCAATCTCTATAAGCATTAGGAGCACATTGATTATTGAACTATGTCAGTCTCTGTAGAAAATATGAAATCCATAGAATTATTATTTACTTAATGTCTCTTGTTCTTTCAACCATCTGTCTCTGCCTCAGATTCGTAAAACCTACTTTTTCTCCGATAAATGAGCGGATACGACCTTGGTCTACTTGTACTAACAATTGATAGTAACCTGGTCTGCATAGGGTCTACCAATGACTGGATCTATAAAATATCTTTAAAATACAAAAAGAGAAATCAATTGTGTAAATAGACTACTAATGACTTCGACTCTTTACAATATAAATCCCTTGTGTTACTGACAGTGATGAAGCTTCAGTAGGCTTATAACAGCAGGCATACCAAACTGTGAACTTAGCCATCTCTCCCATGGTGAGTTTATAAACAGGACAGCATCCTGGAGATAAGACTAGATAAACACTTCATGGAATTACTAGCCACCATTATTTTCAGTTTAACTTGACTGCTTAAATTGTAGAAGACAACTTGTTGGATTTGCTAAGATGTCAATGGGAACTATCATAAACAGTGAGCCGCATTTAATTATTATCTTCTTTTTCAGCTTTGCTGGTAGGTTTTCTAAGGCTTGACTAAAAGTATGATAAATGACTACAGAGAAAATCTTGACAAATCACAAACTTGGGTCCAGATAGAAGCTTACTATGTTTATACTCTTATTAAAAAAAGTGGATGTTTTGAACAAACACATTTTGAAATTAATCATTTAATTTATAGGTATAAATACAAATTAGTTTTCAAATTATTGAACTGTATGACTGTTGGGTTATATTATTTAGACCTGACATCAAACAGAAGCAGAATTATGTCCTCTATATGGAAACAGACACATGTTTCTTGATGCATGTCAATCACTGCTACAGTATATATGGTAAACAATGATTGTTTTGATCTTATTCACCCAGTAATTTGTGGTTACTGTTGACCATCTAGCTACTTGCTGGTAGTCTCCAGGTTATATAGATGGTGCTTCACTAATTCCCATACACAAACACAAGTTGATAACGAGGACATAGGGCTTACAGACAATTATCTTAACATGGCCCTTCACTCATCAGAACATTACCATAAAGTCTTCAAATTAACTATTAGGCACAGAATACTACATCTCTGTTATATATATATATATTTATTAGCACAAATAATCATTTTCCGTTCTCCTCTGTGTTTTTCAGAGTTGTAACCCCTAGCGATGTGAGGCAGTACAAGTGAGTGTTCCGGTGACATGGCTGAGACACGTTCAGGCCCAGCCAGTTGGTAAGGTAGTCACCATGGAGTGGCACAAGGCACACTTGAGGAGCGTATTGTGGCAGGCGATGGCCTTGCTGCTGCTGTCTCCCTACTCCACACAGCTGTGTCCAGACCAATGTCAGTGCCATGGTAACAACAGTTCAGGGCAGGTCAAGGTCAGTTGTGCTGACCTCTCCCTCACAGCTGTCCCCATTGGTCTTCCACAGAATACCACCATTTTGAATCTCCATGGTAACCTCATTTCTAATCTGAGCCAGGACAACCTAGACAAACTTCCAGAAGGACTAACAGAAATTGACCTTGGCCATAATAAAATTACAGAAGTTGGTGAAAATTTTCTTCAGAATTTGAAACAGCTGACAAAATTGTCATTGGACTCTAATCAAATACAAGTAATACAACCAGGAGCCTTCCAGCATCTTCACAGTCTAAGGAATCTAAACCTGGCTAAAAACCAAATGGAAATGCTGCAGGCAGAGCTATTCTTTGGACTTACTGAGCTACGCCTGCTGAATCTTAGTGAAAACTTTGTATCAAATATAGAGAACAGTACATTCCATGAACTTGACTCCCTGATGACGTTGGATTTAAGTTTTAACAAGCATCTGTCTCTTACCAACACAAGCCTGTTGGGCTGCAGTGGAGTTCACACACTATATTTACAAGGAAGTGAACTAGATGCAATAGCAATTCAGGCGTTGGACGGCATGAAGTCTCTCGTTTATCTTGATCTCTCCCATAACAGTATTCCGTATGTGAACCGATCAACATTCCCAAGCCTACAGTCGTTACAACACTTAGTCCTAACTAATAGCAGTATTGGTCAACTAGAGCCAAATGCATTCTATTCTTTTCCTGAACTGGTGAATTTGACGCTTGACCATAATCCATTCAAGGAAATAGTTGGTGGTACATTAGCGGGACTAAGCCATCTGGAGACCCTTTCCATCAGCTATCTTCCTCACCTCTACTACATATACAGCAAAGCTTTTGATAGTTTACCCAGTCTACGAGTTCTGTTGATCCACAACAATCCGCGACTGGCATACCTCCACTACAACTTATTCCACGGCTTACACAGACTTACTTATCTTGATTTGAGCTTTAATAATATCACTCGTGTTCATGAAAATGTGTACAGTAAGTTCAAGAGTGTAACAGTGGATGTCAATGGGAACTACCTCTTGTGTGACTGTGAACTAGATTGGATACTACAAACAATATTTTCTTATTCCACTGACCTTCGTGTGACCTTCCAGAATGTGGATAAGCTTAACTGTAGTTTTGAAGACAACTTATCAGATGAATATCCACTGTGGAACCTATCCACCAGTGACTTGAAGTGCCATAACCTATCCACAAACTCTTCACAGAACAACTCCTTACTGTTCTTCCCCATCGGGAAGTCTGCAAACTTATTGTGTGATGTCGAAGGTCATCCCAGTCCAACCATCACATGGATTCTTCCTCACAACAGACAAATTTCCTTTCACAACTCGCATCTACTTATCCACAAGGAACATACAGCTAAATCTGAGATAGATCAGAATATTATGTTACATAAACGTCCCTCGTGGCATAACTCAGGAAGTTACAGATCAGATATCGAGAATCATCCCGACAGGATTATTGTACTTCAGGACGGGTCTCTGTACATTGACTACATAATGCGAAGTGATGCAGGCCCATACTCCTGTGTTGTTCAAAACTCACGGAGCAAGTTTTCCATAAATTTTGTTCTCAGGTTAAACTATGAGATTATCACAGAGGTAAAGATAATGAGTCTATTTGTAGGGCTGGCATGTGCTGCTTCTTTCTTTATGTTGAATTTGATATATGCATTCACATCTGCATTGGCACGCCGTTGCATAAACCAGCGTCGTCGTGATGCCATTTTGAAACTTCTTGAGAATCTAGACCAATACAAGTCATCACAGATGGGTCGACTTCGTGAGAATTATAATGGTCAATTACAGAAGATCAGGGATACATACCACCAGCGTTTGGAGCGAATCAGTACTAACTACACTTCCCAGGTGTCCCGCCTCCGACAAGGGGCCAGCCACCTACGCGAGGGTGCCTCAAACAAAGTAGGCACTATAAGAGGCAACTATAAATCTGTGCGTGACAACTACAACAACCAGCTGGGGAAGCTGCGCGATTACAGCTCCCACCAACTGGAGCAACTGCGTGACATGTACAGTAACCAGGTCCTAAAGATACGTGATTATGGCTCACTTCAGCTAGGACGCTTTCATCACAAGTACAAGCTACAGCAAAAACATGTCATCAAGCTGCTGGAGATGATGAATGTGGACAATTGTCGTACTGTGTTTGACACAGAATGTGTTCAGGCTGAGTCCATGATACTGTCAGACCCGAACCTGGACCCAGCAATATTGTCTCCTGTGGACATGATCAGTGTCAGTGATGAGGAATATGTTACAGCAACCTCCGAGTCTTCCTCTCGATCTAGTCAGGAACACTTGGCTTGTGCACACTTACTACAAAATGAACAGATGTCAGGGGAGATAACTGCATCCACCTCTGGATATTCTCCTGCTTCTGAGGAAATGAATCTGTCAAGTTCAGGATACATTCCTGACAAACCTATAGCAGACTATGATGTAGATAGTGAGGGGGGTAGTCAATACAACAGGCCACATATTGGTCAGGACTCGTCCTATGTCAATATTCAAATGATAGATGGTAGTGAGGATTATAACATGGAATATGATGGTGATTATGATGAGGAAGAGGAGGACGCTACTGTGTGAATGTACTTATACAGATATATATGCATGGAAATGTCTGTCTGGAGATACAGGAAAACTTTCATTAAACCAATTGTTGTGTAAATAGCTTTAATATTTAAACATAATCAACTGCCAATATATATTTTGAATCATGGTTAAAAAATGACAAATGACAAGTTGTTTTTTCTTTACAACTATGTATAACTGAGCCATGAGATAAAGGGTTAAGTTTCACCAAAATTACTTAATTATTACCTTTCTATGGTTACTGTGGGGACTTTTATGGTCTAAAACTTAAGTTTTGTACAACACCCTGAAATGAATTGTAGCTTCAGAAAAAGATTTGTCCGTTGATACAAATGACAAATACTAATGGTGTGGGGGCAAATCAACGATATATAAAGGCTGATTTATAGAAATCAAATATCTATACAGATTCTTACACATAAAATAGTCAGAAATCATATGAAAATGGGGTATCTTCTTTTGTATTTCGTACCAAGGAGATGGGGTAATTGATCGATAGATAGATAGGGTAAAGGGTCATGGAGGTTAGGGAAGGGTCATAGAGAACAGAGTGGGGTCAGTGGACAGGAAGTTATATAGGTAGGGAAGGGTCACAGGAGAGGGTCAATTATTTAAGTTATATTTTACCTATCAGAAATAAACATCGAAATGTGAAAGCAATATCAATGTTCGATGGCGATGTTGACCATGTGATGTGGAAGTTGACCATGTGATGTGGATGTTGACCATGTGATGTGGATGTTGACTATGTGATGTGGATGTTGACCATGTGATGTGGATGTTGACCTTGTGATGTGGATGTTGACCTTGTGATGTGGATGTTGACCATGTGATGCAGAAGTTGACCGTGTGTTGTGGATGTTGACCATGTGATGTGGATGTTGACCATGTGATATGGATGGTGACCATGTGATGTGGATGGATGTTGGCCATGTGATGTGGGTGTTGACTATGTGATGTGGATGTTGACTATGTGATGTGGATGTTGACCATGTGATGTGGATGTTGACCATGTGATGTGGATGTTGACTATGTGATGTGGATGTTGACCATGTGATGTGGATGTTGACCTTGTGATGTGGATGTTGACCTTGTGATGTGGATGTTGACCATGTGATGTGGAAGTTGACCGTGTGATGTGGATGTTGACCGTGTGATGTGGATGTTGACCTAGTGATGTGGATGTTGAACTTGTGATGTGGATGTTGACCATGTGATGTGGAAGTTGACCATGTGATGTGGATGTTGACCATGTGATATGGATGTTGACCATGTGATGTGGATGTTGACCTAGTGATGTGGATGTTGACCGTGTGATGTGGATGTTGACTATGTGATGTAGATGTTGACCTTGTGATGTGGATGTTGACCATGTGATGTAGATGTTGACCACGTGCCCACTGTGTAACAGTTGTCTGTAAAAGCCTTGTTGATCATTTTGTATGCTAGTGCAATAAGAGTGGAATCAGCTAGTCATTACACCAGACGATTGCCATAGTAACCAGAAGTTGTCCTCGTTTAGAGATTGCTACACTGACCAGTTTGTTTGTCTACTTCTACACTAGTCCATACATGTTATTTTATATCTACAGTCTATGTCTAGTCTTCAATATCTCATTCTTACTTCTCAATTTTGGTAGATTCACGATGGAAAAGGCAATTATACTTCAAACATTTTTAAAGCACTTATTAATGTCATCAAAATAAATGTATACTTAATTCAAAGCCTTCAAAGAAAATGGGGGGGATCTTTATTGTTGAGAAAATGTACATTGCTTATCATTGAAATCACTGTGAATATCAAATTTTGACATTTTTCTTGAATGTTTTAGAGTGAAATGGAATTATGAAGACCTTTTTTACTAGAGTTTCTTATATGTTTATTCATCCTATTTCTCAATTAATTCTTTCTATCAAATTAAATTTATGCACATTTTTTAATTCAAACTTTGTCCAGTATGTGTTCAACTTGATTAAAGTAATATTTTCTTTAATTTGATGTTACTTCCTGATATCTGACAGTGACTTGTAAACGGTGACATGTTAATGATGTAAAATCATATATGTAGGCCCTCTATATCTAACAACAATGACAACATATCAAACTAGGGCACGTAGAAAGGCAGAAATAATGAAACAGAAAGAAGAAAAATTATATGATGTCGGGCAATGAGAACTTTCTCATTGGCTGATGGAACTGGAGTAAATTGTAAGCAAGTTCTGTTGAACATGACCTGATATGGATTACTGTCAACGTGATTACATTAATGAACATATTATTTGTAAAAGATGATTTTTTAGAGTTTATTAAGTGTGTTGATTGGAAAGTAATGTTGCACTTGTTACATTTTGTATCTAGTCACTGATAATGACCTTGTCTCTGATGCTGAATATGCAGAATACACAGATTGAATGATTACTAGTACGACCTGTATCTGATGCTGAATACAGAGATTGAATGGTTACTAGTACGACCTGTTTCTGATGCTGAATACGCAGATTGAATGGTTACAGGTCGTACCAGAGACCATTCAATCTGTAGATTCAGCATCAGATACAGCTCGTACTAGTAAACATTCAATCTGTATACAGCATCAGATTGAATGGTTACTGGTACGACCTGTATCTGATGCTGAATATACAGATTGAATGTTTACTAGTACGACCTGTATCTGATGCTGTATACAGATTGAATGGTTACTGGTACGACCTGTATCTGATGCTGAATGCACAGATTGAATGGTTACTGGTACGACCTTTATCTGATGCTGAATACAGATTGAATGGTCACTGATACGACCTGTATCTGATGCTGAATATACAGATTGAATGTTTACTAGTCCGACCTGTATCTGATGCTGAATATACAGATTGAATGTTTACTAGTACGACCTGTATCAGATGCTGTATACAGATTGAATGGTTACTGGTACAATCTGTATCTGATGCTGAATACACAGATTTAATGTTTACTAGTACGACCTGTATCTGATGCTGAATACACAGATTGAATGGTTACTGGTACAACCTGTATCTGATGCTGAATACACAGATTGAACGGTTACTGGTACGACCTGTATCTGATGCTGAATACACAGATTGAATGGTTACTGGTACGACCTGTATCTGATGCTGAATACACAGATTGAATGGTTACTGGTACGACCTGTATCTGATGCTGAATACACAGATTGAATGGTTACTGGTACGACCTGTATCTGATGCTGAATACACAGATTGAATGGTTACTGGTACGACCTGTATCTGATGCTGAATACACAGATTGAATGGTTACTGGTACGACCTGTATCTGATGCTGAATACACAGATTGAATGGTTACTGGTACGACCTGTATCTGATGCTGAATACACAGATTGAATGGTTACTGGTACGACCTGTATCTGATGCTGAATACACAGATTGAATGGTTACTGGTACGACCTGTATCTGATGCTGAATACACAGATTGAATGGTTACTGGTACGACCTGTATCTGATGCTGAATACACAGATTGAATGGTTACTGGTACGACCTGTATCTGATGCTGAATACACAGATTGAATGGTTACTGGTACGACCTGTATCTGATGCTGAATACACAGATTGAATGGTTACTGGTACGACCTGTATCTGATGCTGAATACACAGATTGAATGGTTACTGGTACGACCTGTATCTGATGCTGAATACACAGATTGAATGGTTACTGGTACGACCTGTATCTGATGCTGAATACAGATTGAATGGTTACTGGTACGACCTGTATCTGATGCTGAATACAGATTGAATGGTTACTGTTGTGACCTGTATCCATTGTTGATTACACAGCTTGGACGTTTACTGTTATGACCTTTATCTGTTGTTGATTACACAGCTTGGACGTTTAGTGGAGTGCTAGTCCAAAGGCATATTTTGAAAAATTCTACCAACCTGACCTTTATTTTCCTAGTAGATATCGAAAATTTCTCTAGCTTCGACATAAAATCTACCAGCTCACGGCATCAGGCTAATGGAACTGTACACCCCTGCCTATGCGGGCACGGTCAGACTGGATGTTTATCTTTACGACCCTGTATCTATGTACAATTTCTCTATGTGCCAATGTCTTGTTTATTTCAATGTTTTGTCATGTGAAGTGCTTAACTTATTAAACTATTGATGTACAAGTTTGTCTTGTGTCAATTTTTTTATTTTAAGACTCAAAACAAGAGGCCCAATGGGCCTGCATCGCTCACCTGGTTTTAAACTCACACTTATAACCTTAAAAATGATCTAAAATAAAGCTACAGGCAAAATATCAGTTTTTATGATTAAAATTCGTTCAAAAGACCCGGTTATTTTTTTTTAAAACATTTCACCCCTGCGATTGAAAGTCGAACAAAGTCATTATGTTGAACACATTGTATAGCCTTTCATCTCAGGATGCAACTTGCAAAGTATAAACATCCTGGGACCCATGGTTATTCATAAGAGGTTGTTTAAAGATTTTAAACAAATTTGACCCCTGTGACCTTGAATATAAGTCAAAGTCATTCACTTTAACAAACATAGTAGTCCTTGATCCCAGCATATGCTACTAACTAAATATCAACATCCTGAGCCTTTTGGTTATTCAGAACAAGT